TCTCCATCCCTCTCTAGGTTCTCCTTTTGTGTCTCCTAGCGCCCTCATGTGTCCTTGTCTGCTTCTTCCTCATGTGTCTCCTGGTGTTCCCCATTTGTCCCCAGATCTTCAGCCCTCTAGGAATCCCTCCTCTGGTATCCCCCTCCCAGGTCCAGTGCTCCCGTGGCCCCCTTTAGTCACGCCCCTGTAGTTTTTCTTTCTGTAGTGTTTTTCTTTAGTTTCAGCTTCCCCCTTAGAATATTAGTTATGTTTGCTGCCCTTCTGTTCTTTAGGTTTTACTCTTAGATCATTTTCCTGTAGTTACAGCTGTTCATGTTATTAGTCTCTCTAGTGTGTTTTTCCCACCGGTGTTTGTAGTTTTCCTCCCCCCTTAGATTATTAGTTATGTTTCCTGATCTTCTTGTCTTTAGGTTTTACTCTTCGGTCATGTTAGTTTCCTCCCTGATTAGTAATTGAGTTCACCTGGTCTCTCTCTCCCCACACACCTGCAGCTCATCTCCCTCTCATCCTCCCCAGTGTATAAAACCCTGTCTGTGTCCCAGTGTTTTGTCGGTCCATTGTTTGTGTCAGCATTGTCTCGCCCCCTCTCTAGGTATTTTTGGAATTTCTCTAGGTCTCTAGTGTTTTTGGATTTTTGGTTTTTGGCTTCCAGCCCTTTGGATTTACCCCTAAATAAAGGATTTTACGTTTTCACTACTCCTGCCTTGTGTCATCCTGGGTCTGCATCTTGAGTCCTAACCTCCCCCCAACTCACATCGTGACAGGACCAAGCAGTCCTGAATTTTATTATAAAGGACTGCCAACCCCTGAGCATTGTGGAGAGTGAGGGGTTCAGGGGGTTATTCAGGTCCTTGATCCATCATACATTTTGCCAACCAGAAAGGTTTGTATACACAATGTCTCAGATAGTTCAGTTCAGTTCAGTTTTAGTTTATTTGTCATATGCAAGTTAGCACAGGGTCAACATTGCAATGAAACGTGTATGACGAGCAGCAGATAGCTGCTGTTACTCATATACAGTACTTAACAAGGTTTATGACACAGCAAACACAAACACTTGTGATTCAAATATCATGCATGCTTGAATAATTTCCATCCAGTGTGTCGGCTCACATTTGGGTATAAAAACTGAATTTAGTTTTAAATTCCTACCTTCTATTCAACAGGGCAAAACGGAGAACTTCATAGCTGGATGTTTTTCTTGCTTTAATGACAGGTGGTCTAATTAATGTGTTAAGTACTAGACTGATTGGACTTTGATTCATTTTCAGACAATTAAGGAAATGATGGCCAAAAAGCATGCGGAGGAACTCGAACGAGTAAAAAGGGAAGCACAGCAAGCTGTGGCAGTGAGTATAACAGCTGACATGTGGACCTCCTTGAACATTGAGGCTTACTTAGCTCTTACCTGTCACTACATCAGTGATAATAAGCAGTTGTGTACATCTGTGTTGGGAGTCAAACACTTTCCACAAAGTCACACTGCTGACAATCTGGCCCAAGTCAAAAGGGGCATGATGGACGACTGGGCCATAACAAACAAGGTAAGGTGTCTTGTGACCGACGCAGCACCAAACATGATAGCAGCAACACGAACTCTTCAAATTCGACACTCAATCTGCATTTTGCACACAAACTAAATTTAATATTCAAAAAATCCTGTGATCAGATCCCTGAACTTTCATCCATAAGACACAAATCTAGGCAAATCGTATCATTCTTCAGATCCAGCACCACAGCAAAAGAGAAGCTTGCTCAAGTGCAGCAACAGATGGGACGGCCCACCTGGAAACTTGTCACTGAGGTACCAGCACGTTGGAACAGCACATATCAGATGCTGTCGCTGCTACATGATGAGACAGAACCAGTGTGGGTATCTCTTGCCTCTCCAAACAGATTGAACTCCACTCACAGCTGATGAGTTTAACATCTTAAGGGAAGCACTTCTTGTGCTGGTCCCATTCCATCAGGCCACAGTGGAGTTGTCTGAGGAGAGGAGAGTTTCAGGATCAAAGGTCATCCCGATGATGAAAATGCTAAATTGTGCACTTGAGCGGAACTCTTTACATCTACACACACAAGCAGCCACACGTCTCCATGACCAGCTTAGACGTCGCGTCACAGACACTGCTTCTAATCTGGAGTCATTAAGTGTGCTGACCCTATCAACACTTTTAGACCCCAGATTTAAAACACTCTGATTTCGTAGTTCCTCCAAGTGTAGTGAGGCTGTCAATCGCCTGAAAATGGAGTGTGCTGCAGTAATTGCTCGCACAACATCTGAGCTACAGCCTGGACCTTCATCAGAGCAGTTACCCACTTCAGGCAAGTTGTTCAGTATTATCAGCTTATTTTCACATTTGTTTTGTTGCTAATGTGTATTAATACAGAGTAGAAGACAAAAACTAAAACTTCTATGTATTTTTTTTAGATTTCAGATCATCTGTGGCAGCAGCTTGATCGAGAGGTTGGCAGACAAACCACCAATGCAACAGCTGACTCTGTCATTGAGGTCCAGCGCTACTTAGCAGAGGGAAACATTTCAAGACAAGAAAATCCATTAACATACTGGGGGAACCGGAAGACATCCTACCCACACCTTTTCCACCTGGCTTTACGGTTTTTGTGTACCCCAGCTTTTTCTGTGCCCTGTGATCATGTGTTTTCAAAAGCTGGTGAAATAGTGTCCAAAAAACGCAATAGACTAAATGCCAAAACATCGGATTAACTTATTTTTCTGAAAAAAAAAAAAAAATACTTTGAGTCAATGGCACTTAAATGGGTAATATCACATTCACAACACTGTCACTTTAATTGTCACTTGGTATCATTCACAAAATATTTTGAGGTGTCTATATTTTCAATTTAGAAGTTTAAAATAATACCATATGAAGTACTCCTCCTTGAACCATCACCTTATCATGGTGGAGGAGTTTGAGTGCCCTAATGATCCTAGGAGCTATGCTGTCAGGGGCACTTTGTGCCCCTGGTAGGGTC